TAAACACACACATATAGTCACACACATGCACCAGCCACACAAGGACCAACAAACATACTCATGCACACTAGCACCCTGGTTATACACCCACATCAGGACATTTAGGCTAGCAGTCACACACACACACACACACACACACACACACACACACACACTCACACACACAGGAATACTAATATTCACACACTAACAAATAAACCCACACACATGAATGCACATGGAATCAAACAACATGCTCAATATTGAGTCGTCTATTTTGTAGACACAGCACACATATTAACATGCATGCCTACATACACATTCAAACGAACACACATGCACACACCTACACACAGACACCAATCTGCACTCAATCTCTCACAATCACACTGGGATGCTCACACCCTGCTGTTCACAACCACCAAAGACCCCAGAACTCACAGGCCCCTGTATACCCCGTGTGTCCCCTTGCACCCCCCACACATGTCCCCTTGCACCCCACACATGTACAAACATACATATACCCTCAGGTAGCCTGGCATGGACCTGCCGCCTCAGCAACCCTCAGACGGTGGAGGGGCACCTCCTCCACTCACCTGCACGTGCATCCCCTGCACGTGGGCAAACACGAGGCTGGTGCACAGGGGCCTCATTCCAATGAACACTGTGGCTCTGACTGGGACAGGTGATTTGGAGTAAATTTGCCTAAACTGGCGGCTCTCAATCCCAATCCCAGTTCCATGGAGGGCAGTTGCTCCAGACTCTCTCCTGCTCCAGAGCCACTCATTCATTTTTGTGTAACCGCCCCCCCCCAACACACACACACACACACACACACACACACTGGGTGTCCGGACGGTCCCTCTCTAAGGTCCTGAATTATCGATCCGCCACCCGAGCTCCTTGGAACCCCTCACCCCACCCCCCACCCACTGCAGACCTCCCCCAACCCCAGCCCCTGAAGGCATGATTCCGGTTTATTACCAAACCATCCCCCAACCACCAGCTCTTCTGTGGGACCCCAGCCACACCACCCCCTAGATTGACACCTGGCATCCCTGCCCTATACAACCCCCCCTCCCTGCGATTCCATAGTCCAGCAACCAGGTGCCCAGGAGCCGGATCGATCATCCCACGTGGCTCAGTTCCATACCAAACCCAGCTCCTTGGAGGGACTCTCAGGACCCCGTCCATGGCACCTCTTGCAGCCACTCACACAGACCCCAACCCCTCAACAGTACTCACGGCTCAGCCGGTCGCGCTGCCGGGTACTGCTGGCTCCTGCAGAGGATGGAGTGGCCGCATGCCTGCCCCATCACTCCTCATCATCTGCCTCCCCAGCCAGACTAAGGTGGCACTCTGCCCTTCCCACCCTGCCCGGGGTTCCAGGCAGGGCGCCTGGTCCAGCAAGCACGGGGACCAAGAGCAGCAGCCTGTCCCCGACTCAGCCTGGACTCAGCACCCCAATCCAGCTCTGCTGCCCTGGCTTCTCCCGGCTGCTCTCGCCTCTCCCGCTGCCACTGCCTCTGCCGCTAGGCTGGCTGGCTCTGGGAGGAGGTTGGAGTTCTGATAATGCAGAAGGGGGAGGGGAGAAGGAGGAGGCGCAGAGAGAGAGAGAGAGAGAGAGAGAGAGAGAGAGAGAGAGAGAAAGGTAGAGAGAGAGAGAGAAAGGTAGAGAGAAACTCTGTCTGGAAGAGGACAAGAAATACACACAGAGGAAGAGACTGAGAGAGAAACAGAGAGGAAAGGGGACAGAAACATGTGAAGGAGAGGAGAGAGGGATCAGAGCCCGAGAGATCAAGATGCTTGAGTATGAACCCCTACTAGGCGTTGTGGGCATCCAAGCCACAGCATCCCCACACAGCCTTCATCACCAATGGACTACAGCCAGGGGGGGGGGGGGCTGCCACACGGTGCCCCACCCCAGAGAGGACTTCTCAGGAGGATGACCTCACCCACGGGATGGGGCAATTAGACAATGAAACGGACAGGGAGTTGTCTCAGCAAGTCTCCTATTGGTCACAGGAGGAAAAGCTCCACAGCTTGAGGCAGGAGGTTGGGGTTTGAGTCCTGGCTCCACCACTTACACACTCATTCACTCATTCATTCATTCTCAAACACCTATGACTGGCCAACGTCATCAGATATGACTCAAACTGTTTCTTGCCCCAGAGAAGCACCCAGACAAGGGGAGGGGGACCTTGCAGTGTGATAGAGGGAAGCATTGGGTCTGTTGTGCTCAGAGGGGGGGCCTGACCCAGTCAGAGATGGGCGAACATTTCTGGAAGAGAGGCTCTTTAAAGGCAAGGAGGGGACCCCAGGAGAAGGGGGTGTACTGCAGGCTGGAGGAGCTACATGTAACACTCACCAGTAATCCCTCCTCGCTGAGCTGTGGGGGGGAATACCGCCCCCCTGCACACATCAGGCTCCAGACAGAAGCCCACGAGACCAATGGAAACCTGATCCCTGCTCAAGGGCATGGGGTGCACAGTTGTGGGGGGTGGACAGAAATGCCAAGCTTGTTCAGGAGCCCTGGCCAGGCTGAGTGCTACAGAAGCAGCTGGCTTAGGAAGTGTCAAGAAAGAAAATGGGAGGGAGCTTTTGCTTCCCGCTGCGGCCCCAGAAGGTAGAGTGTTTCATCTCTGAGAGCTCTGGGCAAACTGTTTTCTCAGCCTGACCCATCATGGGACCTCGCTGCTCCATGCCTGCTGGCTGGGAAGGCGTTCTGCGGTCTCAGAAAGCCAAAGCCCTGGACCTCGGCCAGTCTTGGTGCTCACAGCTCCCCTCCACGCCCTGAGGCGCCTGGCGGTAAGAAGCTGAGTCAGAGGAGTTCAAAGGAGGGCTCCTCCTGGGCTCGGTGAGGGGGAGCAGGTGCGTTGAGGCATCACCTGGTTCTCAGCCCCTTTCTGCCCTCCCTCCCTCCACTCAGGAAACGAGGGTGGAGGCCTCAACCTTGGAAACCACCTGAGAATACACTCAAGCAAGTCAGGTGGGAGGGAGGATCTCCTCCCCATCCCACTGTCACACCAAACCTCACAGCTGCCCCAGAAGTCAGGTGTCTGCAGGAAGGAGGTGCAAGATCCAGGACTACTGGCTACTCCAGAACGTAGAGTCAGCAGGTGCAAGTTCACGTCCCAGCTCTGCCATGTGTCCTGGGCAAGTCATTTAACCTCTCTGAGCTTTACCTTAGTTTTCTCATCTGAAAGAGGGCAAAAATCCCAAGCTCAGAGGTTTATGGAATGTCTGAAAGGTTCCTGTTCCTTTCCTCCAATCCCTCCCCTGAAGAGGTTTGAATTGATGGGGCTGAGAGAGTAACAGCCCTGTAGGGTAACGCTGGGAGGAGGAAGGCGCAGACAGGGGAGAGCCTGGGACTATCCAGGCCTGCTCCTCCCTCTCTACCTGGGACTGGCCTGCAAGACCAGCGGGTGCAGAACCAAGGCCCGGTAGGGAAAAAAACAAAACAACGGCGAAGCCCCGCCCTGCCTCAGGTCCCGCCCAGGACGCTCTCCACGGTGCTGATCCGTATAGGTCCGGTTCACAGATCCTGCAGCAGGTCAGCAGACACCGGTTTTGGGGTGTGGTGTGGGGTAGGGTGGGGTGGTGTGGGGTGATGGTGGTGTGTGTGTTTAAAATCTTTATTGTTGAAAATATTACATGTCACCTTTCTTTCCCCCATTGACTCCCTCGAGCCCGCCTCACGTTGGGCAGCATTTAGGAATCTGTGAAATTGATGGAGTAGTAAAGCAATTCATCTGAGAGTACTAACTGGAAAAATGAGATTCTGAAACTCTTTCTGTCCTCTACATCCCTGCTCCCTGTCTTGCATTATCTGTAATGCAGATTTGGTGGGTTATGTTCCATGTATCCAGTTGTCGCTTCTTATATGTGCCTGACTTTATGGTCATTTACTTGAAGTCATTCAGTCCAAGTCATTTTGTTTTGAGGCACTCGTTTTAGGAATATTACCGTCATCTT